ACTGCAGTTATAGCATTACACTATTAAAGCCAAGAATGTGTGGTAAGTTGCTTACAATATTAAGAAGTTGATTAGAAATGAAGAAAGCAGTGTTTGCACATTAACTTTTTGTTTTTGCAAGTCCTGGAGCTTAAACTCTGGGACTGGGCTTGTACCTGAGCTTCTTTTGCTCAAGGCTAGTGCACTATCTCTTGAGCCACAGAACCATTCCAGCTTTTCTGAGTACTTTATTGGAGATAAGAGTCTCATGGACTTTTGCTGCCTGGTTAGCTTTGAATCATGAACCTCAGCTCTCAGCCTCCTGAGTAGTTAGGATTACAAGCAAGAGTGGCTGGTATCTGACTGGAACTATCTTTTAAGGAATACTTAAAATATTAAAAATATTTGGCATTTGGTTAGAAAAATTACAGAATACCATAGTCAGTTAGCTACAGGAGTAAATACATGACCATTAAGTAGGACAGGTTAATGAAAAACAGTAAAGATTATCTTATTCCCAGTAAGGCCTTACATGCTTCCAGGAAAATGGTGAGTCAACAAAGATAAAATTTAGTTATATTTTCTCTCTCTTTAGTTTCAAGAGGAAAGATTTAAACACCATACCAAATTATGTAATTGCATATATTTTAACAAATTATATAGTTCTATAGGGATATTAACTGTATCCCTCATTTTTACTAAATCCAGCTGTCAGTATTTATTTCTTAGCCACAGGTGACTACAAATAGCATTGATGTAAGTGATGTAAGTAGAGAAACACAGATATTACAAAATGCCCTTGAAGAATTATCTTAAGCCAAAGTCCTTGAAAAGCTTTCTGTTGGGCCCCCACCAAGATAACTCAAGTAGAATAAATGGTACTTGTTACATTCTAGGAATTTGGTTACATTTAAATACTGTTTTCCCTATGCATCATCATACATATATGGGAAGTACTTGTTTTCACCACATATCATGGACAAAATGAATACTTAAAATAAATGGCTCTTAATACAGAAATGTGAAGTTCGTAATACACAGCATAATACAGATAGAACAGTGAGAATCCCTAGATTATAAATTTAATGGTGATTCCCACATGGAATGAACTCATGGCCTTCTTTCTGTGACTTCCTTTTATGATAAAATCTATTTCTTCAAACCAAGCTACTTATATTGTATACTCCACACACTCCCTTCTCAAAGATGCACACCTTCCTGTAAATGTGAGAGGTTGAGGAATTCCATCCTATACTATCTTACAGAAGTTTAATTATATTTGTTGTTGTTGTTGTTACTGCTGTTATATAGACTTGTGAAGCAAGCTAGGAGTAAAATAACAGAGAATATAGGCATCTTAGAAGCCAGAAAATGTGTCACAAGGAAGAAAGTCAAACTTAGTTTACTTTTTTTTTCTGTTTTGTTTTTTGTTTGTTTGATTTCGTTTTTATTTCTTGGTTGATTTTTGTTTTGTTTTGGTGTGTGTGTGTGTGTGTGTGTGTGTGTGTGTGTGTGTGTGTGTGTGTGTGTGTGTGTGTGTGTTTTAATGCCAAGACTAAGGCTTGAACTCAGGGCCTGAGCACATTCACTTAGCTTTTTTTGCTCAAGGCTGGCACTTTACAATTTGAGTCACAGTGCCATTTCCAACTTTTCCTTAGTAGTTTATTGGAGAAACAGTCTCATGGACTTTGATTGCTGTCTTAGAACCATTATCCTTATATCCCAGCCTCCTGAGTACCTGGGAATACAGGCCTGATCCACTGGTACCTAATCCACATTTGTTTTTAACATAGTTTAAGCATAACAAGTTGTACTTGGACTTGAATCTGGCTTTAACATTTGTAAGTACATTCACACTTGCTAGGAAAATTTCAGCTACTTATTTTAAAATTCTATTCATCAGTTAACCATAAAGCTCTAAGTAACCAAAGAAGATTTCCTAGAGATCATCTCTTAGATATTTTTGAGGAAATTTTCTTCCTTTTTTGGGACTATTTCCCAAGTTCACTCAATATCACTGATGACTGATGCATGTTATGAAGTCTGTTTTTCATTTCATATTTGTGTAAGATGAAACTTCATCTTTCAAAAGGAAATAAAGTATTGGTGGGAGATTACAGTTTGTAGGCACTAAACTGTTATATCAGCTACTAAAGGTATACAGAGCTATCCTCTGGGAATTGCGTGTGTGTGCACGTGTTTGAACTAAGACCTTAAATCATTGCTTAGCTTTTTTTGTTCATGACTCACACTCTACCATTTGAGTTAAGCCTCCAGTTCCTCCTCTGGGAATTAATAGTCTAAGAAGAGATCCCAAGGCAATGATTTCTAAGACTGGTTGAGACTCAGAGAAAAAGCTATAATTTCATTACTAAACATTCTTTTTTTTTTTTTTTTGTCGGTTGTAGGGCTTGAACTCTGGGCTTAGGCGCTGTCCCTGTGCTCTTCAGCTCCAGGCGAGCACTCTACCGCTGGAGCCACAGCACCACTTCCACATTACGAAACATTCTATCTGCTTAGGAAAATTTGTAGCAAGTTTCTGTAGGGTTTAAGGACCAAAGTCAAAAACAAAAAAAAATGACAATCATGACAATGGAAAATACATGCATATTATATATTATTGTTACAATCTTGGACCAAGAAAAGTGTCTAAAATAGCTTTCTAAGCAATAAGCAAACATGACATTCAAATAAAAGTGTTCTATTTCACCTAAAATGTTCTTTATTACTTTACAGAAAAATATAAATTTGCCATACTGATATCATAGCTAGATAACATTTGGAGGACAAAATTTCATAAAAAGCCTTTGTTACAACTTTACAAATAATGCTCAATAAATGTAATTAATATATCCAAAAAGATTGATGATATTTTGGAATATGTTTTAAATGTAATATTTCAAAATACAATTATTCATTAAAAATAAATAAATTTTAATGGTGAAAGTAAACACCTCTCCAAAATGCTATTTATTCTGACACCAATTAATACACTACCTTGTATTAGCTGATAGTTTTTTCTTAATTAGTTTCCTACATCATAAAATGACACAATATTCTTTCCAATGTGACAGATATCACCAACAAACCATCTATGTCTTTGACAAAATATAACAGTCTTAGCTCTTCATCTATGAAAAGAAAAAAATAAAACTATTTTTACAGTGTCATTTTCAGCATTGACAATTATGTGAAATGGTGAACAAATATCCTGGAAATTTTAGTGTTCAATTAGATGTGGTATTCATTATATGGCATAACCTATAAGTTGGGGGATTTGAACAAAATATATTACTGTTTTTAAAATTTGCTTTGAGTGGCACTATGTTTTGAATTCAGGGTCTCATACTTGCTAGAAAGTTGCTCAACCACTTTAAAAAACTATACCTTAGTACTTTTTTGTTTTTGCAGTGACAGTCCACACACTTGAACTCAGTGTCTCAGTGTTGTCTTTGAGCTATTGTGCTCAAGGTTAGCATTCTGCCACTTGAGCCAAGTCTAGCTTTTTGGTAGCTAACTGGAAATAAGACTCTCAAAAGACAAAGTCTACTGACGCAGACTTTGAGCAGAAATTCTTAGCTCTCAACCTACTGAATAGCTAGGATTATAGGCGTGAGCCACTTGCACCCAGCACCCTTTATTGATTTATTTTTTTTTAAATAAGTTTTTTATTGTAAAAAAACTATAGAGGGGTTACAGTTACATGAGCAAGGTAATGAGTACATTTCTTATCAAACATTTTTACTTCCTCCTTTGTTTTTTAGATAGAGTTTTTCCCAGGGTAGGTCTTTTGACAAGGATAATTTCACCTCCGCTTCCCTGTATCTGGGATTACAGACGTGTACCATCAAAGCCAACCTTTCTTCTTGCAGTTTGAGTCCTCAAAGTGCAATCCTGCTTTTCTCCACCACCCCAATAGTTGGGACTACAGCACTGAGCTATCAAGATTGGCTTATTTATCATTTTGGTTTGGTTTTGTAAATCGTGAAGACCAGCACAATTTGATTAATTTTTTAACATTCCTCTTAAGTGTAATAAAATTCTATACAATTCCCTACAGGAATACTTTCATTCAGATAAAAAAATTTCTGGATGATATTTTTTGTCATATTCATTTGCTTACTGACCAATATATCACAAGATCCTATATAAATACTTGCAGAGTAGTAGTACTTCAACAAATATAATTTTGGATAAACAATTGAATCAATATTTTTGTCTACTGAAAATAAAATATGATGTTAAGCCTTATTGATAGCTTTTATTGTTATAGTTTTGAAATGTTTACATTGTAAATAAATACCTTCTCAATGTCTAGCCAAAAGTAGAAATAGAATTAGTGACAATAATCCACATTCTTAAATAATTTGAAAATGTGTATTAGTAATATTCATTTTTTTAAAAGTCCTGTGTATGGGTTTGAGATATTGTTCCTTGATAGAGCACTTGCTTACTATATACAGGTCTTTGGGTTCTTTCTGGTGTATGCATATTATTAACACTTTCTGAAGGTCTCATTCACACCATAGTTAAAATGAACAGTTGCGCAGTTCAACTAAGCAGACATGTGGATGTATAGATTGTAAGAGGTGATCTGGAAAAGCAATTCAGACTTGTTTTTCTTCTATTCCTGGTGCTTGAAATCAGGGCCTGTGGTGCTGTTCCTGAACTTGTTATGCTCAAGGGTTCCATTCTGCCATTTGAATAGCTCTACTTCAGCTTTTTGGTACTTAATTGATTATAAGAGTCTCAAGGACTTTCCTGACCAGGCTGTTTCTGAACAATGATCCTCAGATCTCAGCCTCCTGAGTACCTAAGACTACAGGTACAAGCCAAAGGCACCCAGCTAAGAAAATTTCTTAAATCACACAGGGACTAAAATCTATCATTATAGTGCTGTGTCTGCATCAAAATTTGTTTATGCTATCAAATACTTTCTTTAAAACTACATCCACTGTTTAATTTGTGCTGTAAAAATAATAAATTATTATAACCAAGATTATATTTATTTTAATACTCACATCAAGATCATCCTTAGCATTATAGTAGACAACTTCATTACTCTAAAAGAAAAAAAAAGAACACTTTATTGATTAGGGCATAAACTAGATAAAAAACAAAGCATTATATATATATATATATATATATACATACATACATATATACATACATACATAACACATACACACACAGTAGATATGTTTAACTAATAGACCCTTTATTTCATTCCCTTCACAGTATATCCCACAAAAATGTATAAGCATAGGCCCATGTTAAGGGTTTATTCATGGAATTAGAATAGCATATTTTGCATTGGGAAAAAGATCTCAATATGAGATTGAGAGACATTTATCAAGAAAAAAATTAAGTGCAGTGTTTACACGTTAAGTTCATCACTGACATACATATATAGAAAGATCATGAATATATTAAATAATCCACATGATGACATGAAACAGACAAGAAACGGGTGAAATAATGATCTTCCTAACATTGTTAAAACTATATTTTAAAAAATCATACTATCTTCCCAGTGTTGAAATTATTTAATAAAGGTGCATCTTTGCAAAATTGCCAGATATTTTCTCCTCAGTTTCAAATAAGGGACCAAAAACAATAAATTAAAATCGCAAAATAAATCAGATTGTCTAACACAAAAATTCTCATATTCTTGTAAAGTGCTGAATTAGTATTAACTATATAGAAAGAATAAATATAAATGAATATGTCCGGATATTAGTGTTGCTAAAACATACCATAAATATGAATTATGTCTACTATCTATGTTGTTGAAATGCAATAGAAAAACAGACAGCAAATAAAATAACTTTGAAAAAAATAAATTACTATTCCTATGTCTCAAACCAAATTCAAGACCTGCAAAAACAACCAACTTCTGCTTATTTCCATTTTCTCTCTTCTTGTGAGTTCATTGTAGAAATAACAATTCTTCCAAAGTGTAAGTTGTCAACTAAACACTGTGCAAAGATGCATTTTTGTATGACTCTTAAAACATCTACAACATAGATGCTTTAAATTTCATTACAAGCAAACACACAATGCACAACGTTTTAAAAAATTACAAGGGAAAATTCATTAAGATCATTAAGATTTCTCAAATTATGGTAAAAATCACTAGCTCTGATTTTCAGATATCAATGAAGAAAAAACATTCCATAATCATCATGATGTTGAAAGACAAGATTACAATAGTCACTTTTTGGCAGGACAACATAGATTCAGTGAACTAATAAATCTCTAAGAGGGGAACTAAAGGTAAGGCTCAAGTGATAGAGCACGGGCTTCAAGCCAAAAACACAAGTATGAACTCAAGGCCTTGATTACAAGCTGCTGTACAGGTACAAGTAACAGTGCTTAGCAGTAGTAGTATTAGCAGCAGCAGCAGTACAAGTAGTAGTAGTAGTAGTAGTAGTAGTAGTAGTAGTAGTAGTGATGGTGGTAGTAAAGAAAGCTCTGAGAGAAAAATATGTCTTGCTTTGTTTCCCAACTTATTCAGGTAGAAATTAGTACCATACAGAGCAGTTACAATTACAAGAGCAAGGTAGCATTGTTGCCTCCTCCTTTGTTTCCCCTTACCATCCCTGCCCTCCCATCCCCACCTCCCCCGGCAAAGTTGTAAAGTTCTGTGTCCACATAACGTCTTGTACATCTCATTGTTGCAATGAATCCACCTGTATCCCTATTTAAGCAATTTGTTTTTTCCCTTCCCCTCCACAAATTATACGAACATCAAATACAGTGAAAACAGGGGTTATACTGTGGGGGAGGGACATACAAAGCAACAAAGAAATCATCTTATAAATATGTTAGAAACATTTGCAAGAAAGAAAAAAACATTTGAGTCCTTATCTTGGGGTTTATTTCGCCTAACCTCAACTTATCTAACCTTTTCTGTTTGTCTCAAACATATACTAGTTACTGCAAATAAGGGAAACCATAGGACCTATGTTTCTTTGTGCCTGGCTTACTTCACTTAATATAATTTTTTTCCAAGTCTTTCCATTTCCTAACAAATGGGGCAATGTCATTCTTCCTGATGGAGGCATAGAATTCCATTGTGTATGTATACCATATTTTCCTGATCCATTCATCTACTGAGGAGCATCTGGGTTGTTCCATATCTTACTATGGTAAATAAAAATAATGTGCTGGAACTGTAGTATGGTCTTGTTTGTGATCATTCAGGTAAATGCCCAAAAGTGGGATTTCTGGGTCATAGGAGCTCTATGTGGAGTCTTTCTTAAAGCCTTGGTTTTGTAACTGAACTCAACACATACACAAAGCAATAGAATCTTCTAAACTCACTAGAGACTCGACCTAATTATTGGTTCATTGATCCTACTTACAGCTCTGTAATTTATACTTAATGTGAATTCCAGCAAATGCTAAAACGCTGAATAAGTTTACCTTTGTTTTATTCCTTGCCAAACATGAATTTACAGTAAGAAAGAATAAGAAACATAGAAAAATCACATTAAATTCCAAGCAGTTCTGTATCTATATGTGTACATATACTATGTTGCAGCAAGGGAAGCTCAAAATGAGTTAAACCTATCTACTCTGACCTTCAACATCATGGAAAATCATCAGTACAATTATATAAAACAACCTCTATGCACAGCCTACAATTAGTTTATTGTACTAGAAATGACAAACCAAACTGATTCACATTTTTTGTTTTTATTCTATGGATGGCCATTAATAAAATATTCATTTCTTACATTGTCAAATATAAAATTAATGAAGAACAAATTTTGTTCTATTGAAAAGAAAACAAGGAAACAGTTAAACATATATATATCACAAGGAAACAGTTAAATATATATGTGAGCATATGTGAGCGTATATATACATATATATGTGTGTAGATACATATATATGTGTGTATATATATCTACACACACACACACATATATATATGCTCAATCATTTAACCAGATAAGACAGACCTTATAGGAAGTGAAAAATGTTACAACAAATCGTTTAAAGGTACATTTTTAAGGGTACATTGATAATAGTTTGGGGTTTGCAACATTGTGTGTGTGTGTGTGTGTGTATGTACTAGGGCTTGACCTCAGGGCCTACACTCTTGATTAGCTTTTTGTTCAAGGATGCTACTATTTCCACTCAAGCCACACTTTGTCTTCCTGTTTTTTGGTAGTTAACTAGAGTTCACTTTCAGATTTTCCTCTTCAAGCTGACTTCAAACCTCTATCTTCAGATGTCAGCTTCCTGAGAATCAAGGATAGCAGGTCTGAGCCAGTGATGTATGGATACATATCTTTATCTCCCCTATCATAAATATTTCTTTTTCCATTTTTGGAAAAACCAACATTTCATTGGTTGCATGTACATCTCTTTGTTCCTTTATTATACTAAGTAGAACTGCTTTGTTCATTGTTTCTCAGTTTTGTTTTGTTTTCTTTTGGAGTTACTAAGATTTGAACTGAGGACTTCATGCAAGAGTCATACCTCCAGTCTCAGTTGGTCAGTTTCATTAGGAGAAATTTGTAATAAGAATCACGAGCTGGAGAAACTATGTTTGGGTTGAATTCAGTCAATACAGTCTTTCTCTATGGCAAAAATGCTCCTAAATCAAGGAAAATATTTCATGAGAATTTAATTTTGATCACATACAATATTTTTGAAGTCTTAGTTCATTATATATTTTACTAAAAATTGCTATAATTTTGTTTGTTTTCTTTAGACAGTTTCAGAATTATTTGCCCCAGGAATGAATTTAAGTTGGAGGAAAATAGTAATTTGGCAAGGCAGTAATTTTCTTTCACATTACAGTCATTTACAGCTCTCTTTTCGGCTACATAAAATACAAGTATTAAAATTTGTGTAACAACGTTAGGCTAACTCCATGTTCAGTGAATGATTCATGTCACTGAGTCACAAAAATATTTGCAGAACTGCTGTTAAAATGAATCAGCGAAAGCACCTTTCTCAGGAATAAAGAAAAGTGGTTGGCATGAGGTCAACCAAATTCAAGTTTTGGGTAAAATGCATTCTATTACCAATAACATTTAGGAGAAGAAATTTCCAAATTCAAAAATAGGACCCAAGGGAGTAGAATTAAAGAAGTAAAAATCTCCCCAGACTTCTTTCCCCCTTCCCTCTGTCCCTTAATTCCAATTCACAGACAATGAGCGAGATTTTGGGATTTCAGGGTAAGCACAGAGACCCGTATCCTTTATGCTTAACAACTATTTTGGTAAGTATGTCTATAGTAAGTGAGAGAATCAACTGTTAATAAAATCAACACTGTACAGAGGAAACAAGGTCTCACCTTTCTACTTCTTCATGGTCAAAAATTTAGCACACTTCAGTCAATTATTCTGAGCTACCATACCTGGAAACTTCCTACTATGCTTGGAAGGCACATACTCATATAAATCAAAGCCTTCTACTCTAAAATATATATGAGAAGCAAACACTTCCTCTATAAATCAGTGTATGTATGAGAGAACAAAAAGAACAAAAGAAAGAAATTCTTAATCATTTATCTATCCTCCCTTAAAATCCTTTCACACTTGTTGTTTTCCAGAGAGCAAAGAGTTATAACATCAATCACTTAAAATGCTCTTCTTGAAACCATGGCATATAAACTAACCACCATAGGCACAGATGGTAGAACTGACTCATCCAGTTTCTTTATTATCCATCTGCCTAAATATTTTAGTCAAAACTATTAAACATCGTCTCAAAAGTATTCCACATTCACATGCAGAGATCTGAGAGCATTCTGTACAATAAGATTGAATACAGTCAGAACTAGCCTCAAACTATATTCATGGATTAAATCCTTACAGAAATATTTTTCATCATTTAACCACCACCAGATGACAAGAACAAATTATTTTGTTTCTGATTTTTAACCAAGTAGTTTTGTTATTTATTATCTCCTTGAAACAAATTTACCCAAATGGTCCAAGCTAATATAATCCTGTTGTTTACTGAAATGTAAAACATCCCTTAGGAAGTTGAAAGATAAATCACTGTAGACTCTTGATATCTACTGGGAGTCAAAAAATAA